CGCGGCGAAGGAGACCGAAGAACGATCCGAGACACAGCAGTTTCAGACCGAGGTTGACTTCGCAGAGCGACTCAGGGTCCAACGAATGCAGGTTGAAGCGGAGCGGGCGTACTGGGTGGATGGCGTCCAGAAGAACACGAGCATGCAGATAGCGATCGTCCAGCAGCAGATGCGTGAGATGGAAACTAAACGTGATCGAGAACGGGAAGCGGCGAAGAGTATTCAGAAACTTCAAGTCAGTCAGTTGCGCGACCTTTGGGCAACCTCCGATCAGGTTTAACATGCGACTATAACCCCTGTCCCAGATTCGGTGCCTCATATCAAAACGGAATCGGGGATTGCGACCTTCCCGCAAGACGCAAGAAGTCGTGATGCGGACGGTGTTGTTACCAAGAAGGGGAAGTCTAGCGACAGGGTGTCCGAGGCCGCCAGGGCGGACGCCCTGCTGGCTGCACAACTCCAGGCTACCCTCCAGAGTGTGAACGTGGCGAAGGAGGCGACGAGAACTGCGCCTACCGTACCCGCAGCGATGAAAGCTGAGGTGGGAACCAGGGTGACGAAGCCCCCCCGCGCCTAAGTCATCGGATGACGCCAAGAAAGCTACACCCAAGCCGCGTGCGTCCAGGAAGGCCCGCCGTGGCGGATACCCGTCCGACTCGGACCCGAGACCAGGAAACGACGACAGCGTCTCTAGCTCTGACGACTCGGATAGATCCTTCTGTGCGCTGCTCAGCGACATGGTGATTCCCAAGGCCACCCAGGGCGGCACCACCACGATGACTATCCTACCATTCGTGACAGCGAGCTCTCTGGATGATTTCGACGAGAAGGCTTCTCTCTCAGAACGCACTCGTTGGGGGGAACGTTTTGAGACGTTGGCTTTCCAGGGTGGATGGAGCGACAACAAGAAAGTGTACGATCTTCGTCTGAACCGGTCTTCTTCAGCAAGGAACTGGCGTTCCCAATTGTCTTCGCATGTGCGTCGTGACTGGACAAGGTTCTCTACGAATTCAAGACGAAATATTGCAAGTCCAAGATGTCCGACTCAGGGAAGTACCACACCATGAACCAACGCAAGGTGGAGACCCCCTGGATTTTTTTGTATCGTCTGAATGCAGTGGCTGACCGTCCGGACATTCGTTACAAGTAATCAGAGCGATGTCGTGAGCAGCACGTCAAGCGGTTTACGCATCGATTGGTGAATTCAAAACTCAAAACAGCATGAAGAGTCAACTTTTCAAGAGCATGGATGGCCTGGAATACGTGTTGGAACAGCAGGAGGAGGAGTGGGAAGACGAAAAATCAGAACGTTTCGTCTACCAAGGCACGAAACTTCAGGGGGGACAACCTCCGTCAGGGGCGACTCAAAACCAAGTATCGAGGACGGGCGTACGTTGCTCAGAGCGGAGACGAGTCCGAATCTGACGAGCGACGTGTGATATTCGAAGACGAAGCTCTCGAGAGTCCCACGACCCAGGAAGCCGCCTAGCATCAAGAGTGTCTAGCGAAGGCCAAAACCCTAGTATGACCGTGGAAAACCTGACTCAACATGTGCTCAAGGTCTAGAAATTCAGGATGGAACAAGCCTGGGCATATGGCACACCAGGGTAAAGTCCGTCAGAATAACGGCCACCCAGGATCGCCATCGTCAAGGTATGGCAACCCTAATTGGGACATGCGTTGGGACAACTGCAATGTAATCGGACATCGCGCCGAGAATTGCTGGGCAGACCTGATCTGCGAGAACTGTCATCGCACTGGACACCCAACCCAGCTGTGTAAGACCCTGCCGTGCAAGAAGTGTGGAAAGTTCTATGATGGCCGCTGTTAAGATTGGGAGATGTTGGATTCTATTGGCCGACCAAGGTATCGTGAAAGGTCTACCCACTCCAATGCTGGATCGACTACTGTCAAGGCTGATCCTGGTGACGGGTCGTTAAACCACTAAGCCCGCTGGATGGGGATCCGCGACTGGTCGACCAAGGTATCGTGAAAGGCCTACCCACTCCAATGCTGGATCGACTACTGTCAAGGCCGATCCTGGTGACGGGTCGTTAAACCACTAAGCCCGCTGGATGGGGATCCAGTACGCGATGGGCATAGTAAGGCCCCAGGATTGTACACCTTAGTATATGTCGGCCCTGAGTTGAGAACCAAGAACCAAGATAACTAACAATACATGGCTTCTATGTTTCAAGATCCCATGAGTTCAAGATTAGGCCCTTCTGGATTATTTCATGCAGATGGTACTTACCCAGAGTTCCCTGTGGAATCCCGGCTCCGGGATGGAGAACGCTATGGGTGGTGGACTACACACCAACCAGGGAAGGAAAAGCGTAGGATTGTTACGGTTCATGGCGCCGTGAACGACATGAGGACTCGAATACTCCTGCACACCGGGGCGTCGTTGAGCATGATCAGCTTGGTTTTAGCGCGTGAACACAAACTCAAGCTCAATCGACAAAATCAAGTCAAAGTCTCCGGATAAGGAGGTATTCCTACCCAGATCACGGCAAGTACAGAAGTCAAGATAACCCTGGGATCCAGGGTAGCCCATATCAGGGGGTTGTGGGTGACCAACATTGGCGAAGGATTGGATGTACTTCTTGGTATGTATTTCATGTTCCGGGCGGGAGTACGAGTTTGTGTTCGAGAAGGGTTAGTGCAACTCCCGGATGAAGAGTCCATCCCGATGTACAATGACCCCAGGGCGTTGACTTGCCAGTTACGTCTCCAGAAGATTTGTATCTCATGTCCGGAGAACACGCGGTCACCAGTATCGACATACGAGTCCAGAACGAGAAGTCATCTGGGCTGGACGTGGTGACAGGCGGGTAACCAGGGTTGTCTATCAGGCTAGACCCTGGCCGGTGGCGATCAAGGTTGTGAATGTGTCGAAGCATAGTGTCTGGATCGATATGAAGACACCGCTCGCCAGGATTGTACAATATGGATCGTTCCCGCAGGTAGGGCGTTTTGTCCGCCCTGGAACACGAGATTATCGTGAATGGCAGACCCTGATCCTGGAGCACGTCCGGTCAGAGCAGGACAGGCTCAGGGCCGAGCGAAAAGAATAGGCTCTACGAGAACGAGAGCCTCCATGCGGACCGAAAACAGAGTATTAGTGGCCAACCAGGATTATGCTGAGGCCCCAACCAGGATCTGCAGAAGTCAGGATGACCCAACTACAACCCCCCCGAAATTCAGGATACTGTGTTGTGGAGAGTTGGTGGGTGCGGACAGGGGACGGAAGAAGACATCCTGGTGACAACCAGAGTGAACGTTGCTACACAGGTCAGTAAGAGTCGGCTAGACAGTCATGAATGTGATCCTGGTAAAGGAAATACTCAGGATGATGACCGAGGCGGCGCCCCTGTGGAAATGCTTTCAGAATTGACTATCGAACTCGAGGAGCACCAGGCCGGCAAAATGTCCTCGGAAATACGACCTGGACCCGACATCCTAAATTCCACCCAGAAACGACATCGTACACACCACTCGAGAAGTTGGAGAAGGAATACGAAAGCTGTATGAGAGTTGAGCTGAAGAGTTGGATTTGGAACCAGGCGTGTATATTCATGAAGGAAGCAAGATGATAGCAGAATTGCTAGACCAGTTGGTCATGTGGCCAGAATTGAGTGAATTGCATCCAGAAGGTGACATCGATCAGGCCGCTGTGGGAGTCCCAGGCGAGACCTCCCCGAAGATGAGTCCAGGATGCGCGCGATCCTGAAGCGCCATCGGAAGATTTTCCTAGGAGACGGAAATGCTGTACCAGCTCCCGCCAGAGAGGTGGTATGCGACCTCGATGTGGGAGATGCCAAATCCATCGCGTTACGCCCAAGGTCGATTGGTCCACGCGTAGCAGGCAAGGTGTACGAACTTCTCAAGAAATTGCTCGAGAACATCTGATTGAACATTTAGAATCGCAATGGGCATCTCCGATCGTGATCGTACTCAAGACGAACTGGGTGGACATCAGGATGTGTATTGACTATCGACTTGTGAATAATTTCATCCAGCTGTCCAGCTAACCTCTGCCTCCCATCGACGACTTGTTAGTCGATTTCGAGAAAGCACTCTGGTTCATGAGCCTGGATATGGCCAGCGGTTTCTGGGCAATCAGGATGACTGAAAGGGCCAAGCTCGGCTTTCGTTTGTCCGTTATGACACTTCCAATGGATTCGAATGCCGGTTGGCCTGAAAAATGCACCCCTGATCAACCAGCAAGTAATTAATAATGGTCTGTGAGGATTCATGCGTCTACCTCCAGAAGAGGAGGCTGAAGCAGACCAGGAAGTTTTGGATTACCTAAAGTTTGACCCCCACGATGACGGACCTCCAGGGCGTGACACTCCAGGGTGTATTGGTTGTGAAGAAGTTCATACCCCTCGACTATTACGGACCCTGGCGGACCAAATGACTGTGGTCAAGAGGAACATCTCTGCTACGACGCAGATGTCGCCTGTCCTGGGACGCAGCTCGTATATTGACGATATCGCACACGGCGCGCCGACTTGGGACGCATTATGTGCAGACTTGGATGCCTTGCTGTATAGATTGCGTTACTGGAATATCTCAGTAAGTTTGCCGAAGAGTAAATTCGAGAAGCTGTCCATTCCATACCTGTCACATTGCATTAGCGCTGATAGAATCAGGGCGACTCCGAAGACGGCTATGGGCGTTCAGCATCTACCATTGCCAACAACGATGAAGGGGTACAATCCTTTTTGGGTAGCTTGAACTACCACCACAAACTCATCGAGGACTACTCTGTGATCGCAGCCTCCCTGTATGAACTCTCGGATGACCAAGTGCGTTCAGGGCGAGATTTGTTCAGGGCAAGCGTTTGAAATCCTGAAACACAAGATCGTGTCGACCCCGGTATTGCGACATCCCGACAGGACCGAGCCGTTCGTTATCATACCCCATGCAAACCAATAGCCTACTTGTGCAGTCCTGGGGTCAAGAACATGATTGTTTGATCCAGTACGATTCACATGGAGAACACGTCCCGTGAAAACGAAGTTCGACTCGGTGAGATTAGTAGACGTCAAGCGAGATTTCAAGCAGGCGGCAGACTATCTGACCTCCAAGACGTTGTTATTCGGGATATCCTGTGTCCAAGAAGGCGGAGAACGTCAACACCTGGAACGAGTATCCAATATTCAAGAGAAGTTGATGAAGTCAGCAGAGACTTGCCCAGTCGCTAGTCACTCAGGGCTGGTGGCCATCCATGATGAAGAGAATTGTTCAGATGTTCCTGGATGTCTCTCTGCCCTGGATGCCATGGCAGCTCCGTTGCCATATGCAGCCAAATTCCAGGTTGCCGTGACACGAGGTAGCGCCCGAGGCAGGCCAGTATTATAAGAACCCCTCGACCCGTTAGAGTATCAGCGCGAGAGATGGCGGCGAATTAATGTGCACCAGGAACAAGACGAATATCTGTGCGAGCTAAGCCATTTTCTGAACGGAGAAGTTGATCGTTTCACGCCTCGCCAGTTACGAAAGTCGCCAAGTCGCGGACTTATTCGCTCTGGATGCACATGGTGTGCTGTATCGGTTAGCTCCGCCCACGCGTGACAGATCTCGAGATGCCCAGGATGAATTGCGCCTGGTAATACCAACTACCCTGAGAGAGGATATCCTGCACTACGCACATGAAGATTTTCAGAGTGGACACCAGGGCACCAACGAACTCACGAAGAGCTGCGTTCTGAATTCTACTGACCCGGGATGTATGCTGACGTGGAGCGTCATGTCATGGAGTGTGTTGACTGCGCGAGTGGTAAGGGGCATCCGCCTAACTCTGGCCCATCTCCTGGAAATATCGTGCCAAGACGGTGGTCTCGATGGATTTCGTTACGCACATGCCGAAGTCAGAGCGAAGAAATACTTTCCTCCTCTTGTTACAAGACATGTTCTCAGGATTGTGCAAACCGATGTCATCCACAACGGCAGAAAACGTAGCTGAGGTGTATGAGGAACGGGTGTTCAAGATGTTTGGCGCTTCAAAAATGATCTGCCACGATCAAGACCCGAGGTTCATGAGTGAGGTTTTCACTCGATTCAGGGAACTTCAAGGTAGCCGTCAAAGTTCACTCTGAGTTACCGACCTCAGGCAACGGGCAACAGGAACGTTCAGTCCAGACTGTCATTCGGAGTGCTCGGGCGTATGTCACTGAAGCAGACCAGTCAGATTGGGATGACCACGCCGAGCGGCTGATGTTCGCCCTGAACACATCGTTTGATGCGACTCGCCTAGATACACCATTCTATTTTGTCCATGGTTGGCACGTTCAGGGCACTGTATCCTCCATGTTGGGACCTAAACCATCCAGCCTCCCAGAATGGACTGCGTATGAACCGAGGAGAACGTTCCAGCTTGACTATAGCTATGCACGAGCTTGTGCTAAGGGCCTCCAGAAGAAAGAGAAACGCATGAGATTGGAAGCTCAGACTCAGAAGTGCAGAGAGCTCTCAGAGCGTTTGAAGTCTGGATTCGAAAGGTGCGACGCAGTTTGGTTGTATATACCCAAGGTGCAACCAGGATTGAGTCGTAAGCTGGCACACTCATTGCATGGCCCTTTCAGGATTGACGAGGTTCACGATGCTTTCTGGGTAAAGTTGAAGATCGACGGAACCGGATATCGCGTACATGTAAGTCGCCTTGAACCTAGGGCGTTATTCCCGAAGAGACCTGTTGATGAAGTCATCCTGGATGATAACGACGACCTGGATGTCGAACTGTTACCCGAGGATAGTTGGGAAGCAGACAACCAGAACAATGAGTATGAGGTGGAGCGAATCCTGGATCTTCGATGGACCAAAAGTACCCGTACATCCAGAAGGACTCGCTAGTATCTTGTCAAGTGGAAAGGGTATGTCGATCCTGAATGGATACCACTGTCACAACTCAACTGTGGAGCCTTGTTGTACGAGTTCAACCATGGAGCCAGGGCCTGAGCGCGTTTCAGGGCGATGCATGCGGGTGATGACCATCCTCAGATCTAGTTGGGTTCATTCGTCGATCCTGGATGGTCAACTGAATCTTACTCAGACCGATGAGTTTACGTGAACTGTCTCGATTTTGTGGATATTTTCGATTGTGGATTACTTTCGTGGATTACTAATATTTCTGGATGACTCTGCGCTGTTCTGAATTCTGGGTGGTGAAAACACTTTTCGTAACTCAGAAATGTGCCCAGGACCAAAGTGGGCAAAGACAACCAGAGTGAAACGAAAATGACATATATTAGAATGTATTGGTTTAGACCCACGACAACTCAAGTTACTGTGACGAAATATGCAGGTGGGCACTTCAATCGTAGGTTCGACAAGCTGGGTTATCCTGGCGGGCCTTCTCAGGAAGGAGACTCACCGATTTGGGATATGCTCCACAGGATCTTCATCGCTGGTCGCGGTGGCCCACTGCACCCGCGTTGGCTTGCGAAGATCCATGATGTCGAGCTGTTCTGCCAGCGAATACGGACTGCCACGACTGCTGAATGATCTTGGGTTCATGAGAATCCAGTAACATGGTCTCGATGGCAGCGTCTAGTATGCGGCCTCCCAGAAATTTGTGGATGGCACGCCCTCAGCGACACACTATCGCTACTTGGTCTCCCCAGTCCGAGTTAGTGCACCCCAGTGACATTTGCGCTCGCGGTGTCAGAAGCACCCTGGGTGGACGCGTCAATGGCGAACCAGTGGCCACCGTGCCAGAATTCTGACGCATTCTCCTCCATGAACCGGATGTACTTATCCAATGCCATCCTGGCGCGTGGTGTCAGAGAGCTGTACGAATACAAGACCAAGTGCTTCACGCGGTTCTCGAACATAACCACCCAGGGTTCCGAGGCCAATAGCGCCTGTACGTCAGCCAGCACAAAGCTGTGACGATGCAACCTGGAAATTCAGGTGGCATCCGCAACTGCCCTCATTTGAGAGCCTGTAGATGGGAATATGGAACTGACACGTGATAGCATTTTGGGTGGTGAGTGGAGAAAGGCTTCACGAACGTAAAACCCAGCACCGGTCACACAAACCGAGTGACCATACACCGCTATCCCAGGGAGGTGAAGTGTGGAAGAACTCGAAAAGATGACCGATACTTTTCGGATGGATCAGTAGAGATTGAGGAACTAACCGAGATGACATGGAGAGCCCCGTGGTCGCTGGTCGCTGGACATCGTGAATTGCGGGAGTGCATCCCGAATGGTGACCGCACGAACAACGTGAATGGGAAGCAACCCGAATGACACACCGGACGAATCGACGGATGACGTGGTGGTCCAAGGAACAAGACGCGCTATACGCCAGTGCAGGAAACGATCGAGTTGCACCAACGTCAGACTACCTGAAAACCATACTCAAGGGGAAATGAGACCTGTGCGAAGAGTCGGCGGATGCTGCAGATCCGAGGTGGACCATGTGTCAACACATGATGTGTGAGCCCAGGCTGATTGTTGATACGACAACCCAATTATACAAAGACCAAGTTATCCAGAAGGTGTGCGGCCACGAGGCAAAGGAGACCAAATAAATCGAACCCTGAAACACTAATATATTGCAAGAATCTGACGAACATGAAGAATATGCCAAGATGAAGATGATAGATAGCTAAACGTTTAATGAGAGTTTGTTTTACTACCTAGTGCGCAAGTGGTTTGCAGAAACCGCGCTACCAGGGGTACCTCGTCGAAGAACACCTGCGGGAGACTACCTAAGGAGTCACGGACGCAGGGGTCAACCACACCAAGGCCTGACTACGGCCACGTGAAGACTATCAACATCGTTTAAGCTAAATTAACTCGGGGACCGGTGCGCTTGGACACTTAGGTTGATCCAGTTATTTCATTTGCTAAGTTGCGTCTGGACACCCCCCAGTGTCTGGTTGCATTTCATATTACCCTGCTATTTAGGAGGAATGTAGCGATCACCCCCTGGATCTATATTGTTGGTTGCTGTGTGAACGGAAGGTACCTATATTAATTCTCCTGTACTAGTACGGGAGTGGTGCGCGTAGGGCATCCCGAAATCTACCTGTATTCGGGTGTGCCTAACAACTGACAGGTTCTATATTTGTATTACAAACGCTGTGTATATCACTTATTGATTTAGGTTAATTCTTGGAGGAAGGTCTTTGCCCGTGATCTCTCAACTTACACTCAGGACAGCTACGACGAAAGGGTCCGGGAAGTTCTCGTATATCTCTATATATCCTATTGACAATAGCTGCTACGGTGTTATCCCTGATAATCGAATTAATCGAACCTATAGGGATTGACGCAAGGCACACGCCAACTCGGACTGGAACAAGTTTTCAGCCCGAGTCTTATACTACCTGAACGACTTCGTGTTCGAATCCGTTCAGGGCACGCTATACACTTTTGGGCAGTTAAGTGTTCACCCACTTCGTCACAACTGGTACGCGTGACCGGATTCGAACCAGGGATTTCACCGCAATTGTACATTTGCAATTATGATCTTAAGGGGTACTAACCTACTAATCTCGGTGGTTATGAGCGAAGTTGAGAATGCACGCGAAGATGGAGGACGCGGTGGCGGTCGTGGAAGAAGTCGACGACAGTCGCGTCGAACTCGAGGCTTGCAGCCCGAAGAGCAGAAGCCTCTTGAAGTTGCTGAGAAAGAGAATCGCACTCGGAGATTTGTGGCTCGCGAGGAGAAAAATGCGGCAGAGCCGAAGGACACTCGGACTCAGGCAGACTCGGAGGAGGAAATCCAAGATGTGCACCATGTCACCTTGGATGGCATCACTAAGGATGGTCCCGAAGAGAGCGCGCCGGTTGGCTCTGAGGATGACTCCAACTCAGACTCGAGTGTGGAGGTTTTGGTTGTGTCTGGTCCGGACGAGCCTGAGCAGGCGTCTGTGGGAGGCGCCGTCTAGGTTGAGTCCACAGCTGTGGAGAAGTCACGGCTGGGTAAAGATGCAATCGTGGTTGACGTCCACAATCCAGCTTGAAGGTCCACTGTTCAGCGTCAAAGAAGCTACGTCGAACGTCCTGGGTGACGACTCACAGCCGAGGCTCGAGATGTCAGTGTCTTCCAACCCGTGTGTACAAGTGCCGAATGTGGAGGCAACATCCCGGATGCAGACTCCAAGCTTGACCCAAGAAACGGTCGTTCGGATCGCCGTGAACGATGTTGTGGTGTCCGATATTCCAGTCGCATCAAATTAGGTGAAAACGTATGTGGACGACCAAGTGCGTCGATGGGAACAAGTCTCTCTAGAATTCGTGATGTCTCCGATGATCGAGTACGCCTGGCCTTACCCCGCACCGGATTTTCAGGCGTGGTATGAGACTGTTGTGACAACGTCGGAGTACTTGGCGTCGCGGATGTCATAGGGAACCCGAGCGCAGACTTGGATCTCTGAATATGGACTTGTTAGATTCGCGCAAGATATGGTACTGATTTCACGTCGGCGACGGTGCCCCTGAATGAGCTATCCATGCGGGAGTGCGCCGCAGTCCTGCAAACGATGATTTTCGAGGTTGGATTCAAGTTCCGCAACCTAGTTCCGGAATGGTTTCGAATGTCTACGCCCAAAGCTGAAGTTGATACGATGCGAAGGGTGGCCGAGGAGATGCAGCACTTCTTGACTGTAGAGCTCCTGGAGTGACAGCTAGTCGTTTCCGGAGTACAATGCCTCTTCACTTGGAGAATCTAAATCGAAGCGCCAGCAACACCCATCTCCACGCCCGTCATCTATTCCATCGATGAGTTCGCTGATGTCCTACCGGACGTCGACTAAGGATGACCGGAGTCCTACTATCCCGAAGTGTGCCTCCGGTGTGCCTCCGATGCCAAGCTCGGGTTATGGGTCAACGTTGTTTGGAAACACGGCAATGGGTTCAGACGAGTCGAACCTCTCTGAAACGCTCGAATACCTGTAGCCCAGGAACGGTTCATCTCCTGCGTCCTCGATGTGGTCGATATATGCTGTTCGCGCATGCCTTCCCAGCAGGAGTGGTGTTTGCAGCTCAAAATAGCGTCGTCCAACCTGAAAGTAGCCTGGGTGTCCAAGTGACTAAGTAGGCTATCCTCTCGGTGCCGCCAGTGCCAGCCAACCCTGACGATGTCGTTATGTCGGAGTCGGGGCCGGCCAGCATTCGGAGCGGTAATTGGTCGAGGCCATCTCGGAAGCATACCCGTAGGCGAATATCTAGCCCAAGTGGTGGCTCCCCGAGTGAATCAGAATCCAGCGACGACGCTCGGAAAAGACGGCACTCGATACATTATATATTACAATCTATAGAAAGTGTCTATGTAGTCTACGGTACTGCGACCATATGATTGGTATAGGGCCCCTTCTCTAAAAGAGGCAAAATTAGTGCAATGACGAAACGAAGAAAACGGGTAGGAAGTCACACTTCCTCTTTTGCTTCGGACTGCATGTCTGTGAGAAAAGAAATAGGGATAGAGGAATAACAGTCAATAAATGATTTAATTGGCTGATAAGAGCCAGTAAGAGATTCTATTGTTTTAAGTCTTTCATATTGTTTAACACCACTCTCTTTCCGTGCCTGACTCTGCAGACCACGCTCACGCAGCCCCTCCGTTCTTCATAGACTCTATTCCTTTCGTCATGATCACCCCGTCGAGGTGATAGAGATCACATCCATGATCGCTCCGTCCAGGTGATAGAGTTCACGGCCGTCTCCTCCGATCGCTCTCTCCAGGCGACAGAGTTCCCGGTTGTACCATGATCAATCCGCTCAAAACACAGAGTTCACGTTATTTCCACCTTGCGACTTCACTACCATGTCGATGCCACGGTCTCTGGATGGACACTCATATACTGGACACCCTGCGATTCGACACCGTTTCCCAATCGGGTGTTGGCTCCAGGGGTGCCACTTAGGCAGTGAATCACCGAAGGATAAGCAGTGACTCCGGTACGCGGATTTTCACAACTGAGGGCGCATGAAGGCTCGTGCACCCACCTACTACGTTGACTACGACTTTTCGCCTGCTCACCGCCGATCCTCACCTTGGATCTTGCGCTTAACTGTTCTCATCCTTCGGTCGCAGCTGCCCCTGTCTTCATCGCTC